CGACACACTCACTCACTCAGTCACCCACACACACACACCCACACTCACTCACTCACCCACTCACTCACTCACCCACTCACCCACTCACTCACCCACTCTCTCACACCCACACACCCACAGACACACACACCCACTCACACACACACACAGACACACACACACCCACCCACTCACCCACTCACACCCACACACATCCATACACTCACTCACTCAGTCACCCACACACACACACTCACTCACCCACTCACTCACCCACACACCCAGTCACTCACCCACTCTCTCACACCCACACACCCACACACACACAGACACACACACCCACACACAAACACACACACAGACACACACACACACCCACTCACTCAACCACTCACACCCACACACATCCACACACTCACTCACTCAGTCACCCACACACACACTCACACCCACACACCCACACACACACAGACTCACACACCCACACACACCCACATACTCACACACCCACCCACACACACTCACCCACACACCCACTCACTCACCGACACACACTCACACACCCACTCACCCACTCACTCACACACACACAGACACACACTCACACACCCACTCACACACACTCACCCACTCACCCACTCACTCACACACACTCACTCACACACACTCACCCACTCACACACACAGACACACACTCACACACCCACTCACACCCACACACCCATTCACTCACACACACAGACACACACCCACATACTCACTCACCCACACACACACAGACACACACTCACACACACAGACACACACAATCACTCACACACAATCACTCACACCTACACTCACCCACTCACGCACACTCACACACCCACACACCCACGCCCACACACCCACTCACTCACCCACTCACTCACACCCACACACTCACACACCCACTCACCCACTCACTCACACACACACAGACACACACTCACACACCCACACAGACACACACTCACACACACACAGACTCACACACCCACACACAGACACAGACACACACACTCACTCACACCCATACACTCACACACCCACCCACACAGACACACACACATCCACTCACACAGACTCACACACCCACACAGACACACACACACACTCCCACCCACACACCCACACAGACTCACACACCCACACAGACACACATCCACTCACACACCCACACACTCACACACACAAACTCACACACACTCACACACTCACACACCCACACAGACATACACTCACACACACACACCCACACAGACACACACTCACACACACACAGACTCACACACCCACACACAGACACAGACACACACACTCACTCACACCCATACACTCACACACTCACACACCCACCCACACAGACACACACACACATCCACTCACACACCCACACACAGACACACACACAGACACACACATTCACTCACACCCATACACCCACACACCCACACAGACACACACTCACACACCCACTCACACACACTCACCCACTCACACAGACTCACACACCCACACAGACAAACACTCACAGACTCACACAGACACATACACACATCCACTCACACACTCAGACACCCACACACACACAGACACACACTCACCCACTCACCCACTCACACACACACAGACACACACACACACACATCCACTCACACTCACACACACAGACACACACACACACACATCCACTCACACACACAGACTCACACACCCACACAGACACACACACACACCCACACAGACACACACACAGACACACACACACATCCACTCACACTCACACACACAGACACACACACACACATCCACTCACACACACAGACTCACACACCCACACAGACACACACACACACTCACACCCACACAGACACACACACAGACACACACACACATCCACTCACACTCACACACCCACACACTCACACACCCACACACCTACACAGACACACACACTCACACACATACACACACATCCACTCACACTCACACATCCACACAGACACACACTCACACATCCCCACACACTCACACACACAGACTCACACACACACACCCACACTCACACACTCACACACACACAGACACACACAGACACACACTCAGACACTCACACCCACACACCCACACAGACTCACACATCCACACAGACACACACTCACACCCACACACAGACACACCCACACACATACACACACCCACACACACCCAAACACACAGACTCACACCCACACACACTCACACACCCACACAGACTCACACACCCACACAGACACACACACCCACACTCACGCACACACCCACACAGACATACACTCACACACTCAGACACTCACACAGACTCACACCCACACGCACACAGACACACTCGCACACACCCACACTCACACACCCACACAGACATACATTCACACACTCAGACACTCACATACACACACACAGACTCACACCCACACACCCACACATCCACACACACTCACACACACACAGACACACACTCACTCACACCCACACAGACACACACCCACACACACTCACACACCCACAGACACACACACAGACACACTCACACCCACACACACCCACACACACCCACACACACTCACACACCCACAGACACACACACAGACACACACACACCCACACACACACAGACAGACACACTCACACCCACACAGACACCCACACACACAGACACACTCACCCCCACACACACAGACACCCACACACACCCACACACACACCCCCACACACACACAGATACCCACACACACACACACAGACTCACACACCCACACACACACAGACACACTCACACCCACACACACACAGACACACTCACACCCACACACACACAGACACACACACACAGACACCCACACACACACACCCACACACACCCAGACACACCCACACACACAGACACACTCACACCCACACACACACAGACACACAGACTCACACCCACACACACCCACACACCCACACACTCACACCCACACACACCCACACACACCCAGACACACCCACACACACAGACACACACACACAGACAGACACACACACACAGACACACCCACACACACACAGACACACACACACCCCCACACACACACAGACACACACACACAGACACACCCACACACACACACCCCCACACACACACACCCACACACACACTCACACACCCACACACACACAGACACCCACCCACACACACACACACACACCCACACACACCCACCCACACACACACACAGTGACACACACACACAGACACCCACACACACAGACACACACCCACACACACCCACACCCCCACACACAGACACCCACACACAGACACACAGACACAGACACACACACACAGACACCCACACACACACAGACACCCACACACACACACAGACACACACACACAGACACACACCCACACACACCCACACACACACTCACACACACACTCACACCCACAGACACACACCCCCACACACACACAGACACACACAGACACACACACACAGACACACACACAGACACACACACAGACACAGACACCCACACAGACACACACACAGACACACACAGACACCCACACACACACAGACACACACACAGACACACCCCCACACACACACAGACACACACAGCCTCGTGTGTGATGGAGTTCCAGGTGATACTGAGAGAGCTCAGCAGAGCCGCCTGAGAAATCATTCACGGGGGGGGAGGAGGGGGGAGAGAGTGGGGGGAGAGTGGGGAGAGAGGGGGGAGAGCGGGGGAGAGAGAGGGGGAGAGTGGGGGGGAGAGTGGGGGAGAGAGGGGGAGAGTGGGGGGAAAGAGAGGGGCAGAGGGAGAGAGAAGGGGAGAGTGGGGGGAGAGTGGGGGGAGAGGGGGGAGGGAAGGGAGATGGGAGAGAGGGGAGAGAGGGGAGAGAGGGGAGAGAGGGGAGAGAGGGGGGAGAGTGGGGAGAGAGGGGGAGAGAGGGGGAGAGTGGGGGAGAGGGGGGAGGGAAGGGAGATGGGAGAGAGGGGAGAGTGGGGAGAGAGGGGAGAGAGGGGAGAGAGGGGGGAGAGTGGGGAGAGAGGGGGAGAGAGGGGGAGAGTGGGGGAGAGGGGGGAGGGAAGGGAGATGGGAGAGAGGGGGGAGAGAGGGGAGAGAGAGGGGGGAGAGAGGGGGTGAGTGGGAGGGAGAGTGGGGGGGAGAGGGGGAGGGTGGGGGGAGAGAGAGGGGCAGAGGGAGAGAGAGGGGGAGAGTGGGGGGAGAGTGGGGGGAGAGGGGGGAGGGAAGGGAGATGGAAGAGAGAGGGGAGAGAGGGGGGAGAGTGGGGAGAGAGGGGGAGAGAGGGGGAGAGAGGGGGAGAGTGGGGGGAGAGGGGGGAGAGAGGGGAGATGTGAGAGAGTGGGGAGAGAGAGGGGAGATGGGAGAGAGGGGGGGAGAGGGGGGAGGGAGGGGAGATGGGAGAGAGGGGGGAGGGTGGGGGGAGAGTGGGGAGAGAGGGGAGAGAGGGGGAGAGTGGGGGGAGAGTGGGGAAAGTGGGGGGAGAGTGAGGGGAGTGGGGGGAGAGGGGGGAGAGAGGGGGAGAGTGGGGAGATGGGGGAGATGGGGGAGATGGGAGAGAGAGAGGGAGAGAGAGAGGGGCAGAGGGAGAGAGGGGGGGTAGAGAGAAGGGGGGGAGAGTGGGGGGAGAGTGGAGGGAGAGGGGGGAGAGGGGGGGGAGAGCGGGGGAGAGTGGGGGGAGAGTGGGGAGCTGGGAGAGAGAGAGAGGGAGAGAGAGGGGCAGAGGGAGAGAGTGGGGGGTAGAGAGAGAGGGGGGGGGGAGTGGAGGGAGAGTGGGGGGAGAGTGGAGGGGTAGAGAGGGGGTAGAGAGTGGGGGGTAGAGAGAGGGGGTGGGGGTAGAGAGCGACGGAGAGAGAGGGGGGGGAGGGAGAGGAGGGGGTGGTGAGCGAGAGAGCGAGAGAGAGCGATGAGGTGAGATCCATGGTAAGTGTGGGAGCCGGCGAGAGAGAGAGAGAGAGATAAGAGAGAGATAAGGGAGAGATAAGAGAGAGAGAGACACACACAGACAGAGACACACAGAGCAAGACAGAGATTATTTTTTTTTTAAGAAAAAATCGTGAAATCTTTAATTTAACAGGGAGTGTGGAGTGTGTGTGTGTGTACACGTAAGGCATCGTGAAGATGACGACGACGACGAAATGATGGGCGAAGCGAAGGGCCCGCCAGAGCGATCATCTCCCGGCTGCCTGTGATTTAACAGAACATCAAACGAGGATCACTGGAGATGAGGTTCATGCCAACGTGCTGTGCAGAGCGGCGTCAGCGGTGGCGGTGGTGAGGGAGGGAGGGAGGGACGGAGGGAGATGGCGGGGACGGAGAGAGTCATCCTGCTCGTGAGCTGGTGAGGAATGGGAGACACACACAGAGAGAGAGAGAGACACAGAGACACACACAGAGAGAGACACAGAGAGAGAGAGACACACAGAGAGAGAGAGACACACACAGAGAGAGAGAGAGAGACACACACAGAGACACACACAGACACACAGAGAGAGAGAGAGAGACACAGAGACACACACAGAGAGACACACAGAGACACACACAGACACACAGAGAGAGAGAGAGAGACACAGAGACACACACAGAGAGACACACAGAGAGAGAGAGACACACACAGAGACACACACACACACAGACACACAGACAGAGACACACAGACAGAGACACACACAGAGAGACACACAGAGAGACACAGACACACACACACACAGATACACACACAGAGAGACACACAGAGAGAGAGACACACAGAGAGAATCAGAGACACACACAGAGAATCAGAGACACACACAGAGACACACAGAGAGAGACACAGAGAGACACACAGAGACACACACAAACAGAGACACACACAGAGACACACACAGAGACACACACAGAGACACACACACAGAGACACACACAGAGAGACACAGAGAGACACAGAGACACACGCACAGAGACACACGCACAGAGACACACACAGAGACACACACAGAGAGACACACAGAGAGAGAGAAACAGACAGAGACACACACACAGAGAATCAGAGACACACACATAGAATCAGAGACTCAGAGACACACACACACAGCCACACACAGAGACACACACACAGAGACACACAGAGAGACACAGACACACACACACAGAGACACACAGAGAGAGAGAGACACACAGGCATACACACACAGAGACAGACACACACAGAGACACACGCAGACAGACGCACACAGAGACGCACACAGAGACACACACAGAGACACACACAGAGAATCAGAGACACACACAGAGAGACACACACAGACAGACGCACACAGACACACAGAGAATCAGAGACACACATACAGAGACACACACAAAGAATCAGAGACACACACAGAGACACACACAGACAGACACACACAGAGACAAACACACACAGAGACACACACAGACACACACAGATACACACACAGAGACCCACAGAGAATCAGAGACACACACACAGACAGACACACACAGAGACACAGAGAATCAGAGACACACACACAGAGAGACAAACACAGAGAGACACACACAGACACACACAGACACACACAGAGACACACACACACAGACACACACACAGACACACACAGAGACACACACAGACACACACAGAGACACACCCAGATAATTAGAGACACAAAGACAGAGAGAAACACAGACAGACACACACAGAGACAAACACAGAGAATCAGACACACACACACACACCGAGAGACAAATACAGACAGACACACACAGATAATCAGAGACACAAAGACAGAGACACACACAGAGAGATACACACAGAGACACACACAGAGAATCAGATACACACACACACAGAGACACACACAGAGAGACGCACATAGAGAGACACACGGAGAATCAGAGACACACACACACAGAGACACACAGAGAGACACACAGAGACACACACAGACACACACAGACACACACAGAGAATCAGAGAGACACACACACAGACATACACACACAGAGACACAGAGAATCAGAGACACACACAGAGACACACACAGAGAGACACAGACACACACAGACACACACAGAGACACACCCAGATAATCAGAGACACAAAGACAGAGAGAAACACGGACAGACACACACAGAGACACACACAGAGAATCAGAGACACACACACACACCGAGAGACAATTACAGACAGACACACACAGAGACACACAGAGAATCAGAGACACACACAGAGAGACACACACAGAGAGACACAGACAGACACACACAGAGAATCAGAAACACACACACAGAGACACACACAGAGAGATACACACCGAGACACACACAGAGAATCAGAGACACAAACACGCAGAGAGACAAACACAGACAGACACACACAGAGACACACAGAGAATTAGAGACACACACACAGACACACAGAGAATCAGACACACACACACAGAGATACACACAGACAGACACACACAGAGGATCAGAGACACACACACAGAGACACACACAGACAGACACACACAGAGACACACACAGAGAATCAGAGACACACACACACAGAGACACACACAGACAGACACACACAGAGACACACATAGATAATCAGAGACTCACACACACAGAGACACACACAGAGAGACACACACAGAGATGCACACAGAGAATCAGAGACACACACAGACAGACACACACAGAGAATCAGAGAGACACGCAGAGACACACACACACACACAGAGACGCACATAGAGACACACAGACACACACAGACACACACAGAGAATCAAAGAAACACACACACAGACAGACACACACAGAGACACAGAGAATCAGAGACACACACACACAGAGACACACACGGAGAATCAGAGACACACACACAGAGACAAACACAGAGAGACACAGACACACACAGAGACACACCCAGATAACCAGAGACATAAAGACAGAGAGACACACAGAGACACACACAGAGAGAGACACACAGAGAGACACACAGAGGCACACAGAGAGAGACACAGAGACACACACACAGAGACACACACACAGAGACACACACACAGAGAGAGACACAGAGACACACACAGAGACACACACACACAGAGACACACACACAGAGACACACACACAGAGACACACACAGAGACACACACACAGAGACACACAGAGAGACACATACAGAGACACAGAGACACACACACAGAGACACACAGAGATAAGCAGAGACACACAAACAGAGAGACACACACAGACAGAAACAACAGAGACACACACAGAGAATCAGAGACACACACACACAGAGACACACACAGAGAGACACAGACAGACACACACCGAGAATCAGAGACACACATACAGAGACACACACAGACAGACACACACAGAGAATCAGAGACACACACACAGAGAAACACACAGAGAGACACAGAGAGAGAGAGAGAGACACACACAGAGAATCAGAGACACACAGAGAATCAGAGACATACACATAGACACACACAGAGACACACACAAAGACATACACAGAGAGAAACGCACAGAGATATACACACACACAGAGACACATAGACACACAGAGACACACACACAGAGACACACAGAGAGACACACACAGGGATACACACGCAGAGACACACACAGAGAGACACACACAGAGACACACAGAGAGCCACACACAGGGATACACAGAGACACACGCAGAAACAGTCAGAGAGACACACAGACACACACAGAGACACACAGAGAGAGACACAGAGATAGACACAGAGACACACAGAGACGCACACACAGAGAGACACAGAGACACACACAGTGAGACACAGATACACAGAGACACACATAGATACACAGAAAGAGAGACACAGAGACACACAGAGACACACACAGAGACACATACAGAGACACAGACACAGAGAGACACACAGAGACACACACAGAGAGAGACACACAGAGAGACACACAGAGACACACAGAGAGAGACACAGAGACACACACACAGAGACACACACACACAGAGACACACACACAGAGACACACACAGAGACACACACAAAGACACACAGAGACACACGCAGAGAGACACAGAGTGACACACCGAGATACACACAAAGACACACACAGAGGCACACACAGAGAGACACACAGAGACACACAGAGAGACACACAGAGACACACACAGAGAGAGACACATAGACACAGAGACACACACACAGAGACACACACAGAGACACACACACATAGACACACACAGAGACACACACACAGAGACACACAGAGAGAGACACAGAGACACACACAGAGACACACACACAGAGACACACACACAGAGAGACACACACAGAGACACACACACACAGAGACACACACACAGAGACACACACACACAGACACACACACACACACAGACACACACAGAGGCACACAAAGAGACAGAGACACACACACAGAGACACACACAGAGACACACACAGAGACACACGCAGAGGGACACACAGAGAGACACACAGAGACACAGAGAGACACACAGAGACACAGAGAGACACACAGAGACACAGAGAGAGAGAGACACACACAGAGAATCAGAGACACACATAGAGACACACACAGAGAATCAGAGACACACACACAGAGACACACACAGAGACACACACAGAGAGAATCAGAGACACACACAGAGACACACAAAGAGACACACAGATAGACACACAGAGAGACACACAGAGACACACACAGAGAATCAGAGACACACACAGAGACACACACAGAGACACACACAGAGAGAATCAGCGACACACACAGAGAGAATCAGAGAAACACACAGAGAGACACACAGAGAGACACACAGAAACACACAGAGACACACACAGAGAGAGACACACACAGAGAATCGGAGACACACACAGAGGCACACACAGAGAGAGACACACACAGAGACACACACAGAGACACACACACAGAGACACACAGAGACACACAGAGACATACACACAGAGACACACACATAGAATCAGAGACTCAGAGACACACATACACAGCCACACACAGAGACACACAGACTGAGACACACACACAGAGACACACAGAGAGACACAGACACACACACACACAGAGACACACACAGAGAGAGAGACACACAGGCATACACACACAGAGACAGACACACACAGAGACACACGCAGACAGACGCACACAGAGACGCACACAGAGACACACACAGAGACACACACAGAGAATCAGAGACACACACAGAGAGACACACACAGACAGACGCACACAGACACACAGAGAATCAGAGACACACACACAGAGACACACACAAAGAATCAGAGACACACACAGAGACACACACAGACAGACACACACAGAGACAAA